ATTATCATGTACCAGATGTCAATCAATGTCACTATGTTGTCAAGTGATTAAGAGAGATCACGTGGCACAGGTTTATGTCTACGCATGCTCTATTTCGTTGACTGCCGTAATTCAATACAGCTGAACTAGAAATATTAATTTATGAATTTCGTAAACAAGGATTTCAAGCAGAGAAGCCGTGAGGATTTCGAAGGATTATTTCTAAGAATTTTCAATGAACTTCATGGGCAAAATCTTGTTTTGGTTAACTATTCATGTTTCATCTTCTCGAACAGTATTTTCTGCACGAACATGCGAAGATCGATGAGGAGAACAGGGTTTTCGAGAGTCAGAATTAAGATAAGCCATAGGCGAACAAATTCATCATGAATATTATTATTATTATTATTTTCTTGAACTTGACAATATAGTCCTATATATAGCCTATATTTATGTATTTATATTAACTGAACTGTTTTGGCTTCAAAGTCTACTCACAAAGGAACATGAGGTACATAGCAATATTTATTTTAGGATTCTTTTTGATTTAGGAAGCAAAATAAATAATTTGCCACGCCACGCACATTCTAGGGTTTGATGTTTGCCGTTCGAAGAGTTATGATTTCTTTAATTTTTCTTCAATAAAATGGCGATTCATTAAAGAAATATCGATAAATTATAAAATGTAAAGCAATTATGAAAGAGGTTTTGAGAAAATATTAGCCTGTATTTGCGTTAATGAAGCATTTTGATTTTAAAGCGAGCCGTGCGAATGCGAGCCATGCTTTTGAGACGTCGTTTTACAACAAGCTAAATATGTATGCCAAAATCCAGAACCGGGAATTGGAATTGGAGTTTCAGATTGATTTTGATGAGTATATGGCAATAAACGCTCTGCCTGCAAACGGCTTTTAATACTATTTACATTTTGCAACTTATTCTACTTCTCCTTTAGATTCTTAGAGACTTAGTAAACCGTCCCAACCAGGGGCTGGTTTATCATTACTTCGAGGCGTTACGAATTACTTTATCAGTGGTTTTGGAAACTCAACCAACTAAATACTCCATGCATAATAATAATAATAATAATAATAATAATATCTTTATTTACCCTGATTTAAAAAAAACCGATCAGCTGGACACAATAGAACAGCTGGTATGAACCGGTGATCAGCAATATAAAATCTATAAAAATCTAGATAAAATCTATACTAAAATCTGCGATTGAGAACCTTAAAGTATAAATATATACATATATACACAGAAACACGAAA